CCTCTGGAATGGCAAACTTAGCTGGGTTATGATGGACAGATTTCAGTAACCTTCAAAGAACAACACAAAATCTGTGATGAGAAAATCTTTTCATCAAGATTTGATGATTTCATACGAACACATCTCATACTGTAGATTGGTTCAACATCTAAAAGGTCCCACTCCACCTTTTGTACATCTTCCAGTGATCTTTCAGTGTGGTGTGGTTCTCCATGATCTCATCCAGGGTGATGAGGACCACCAGAAGTTCTCCCAGATGCTCGTATACTGTCTGATTGCAGACAAAGAGAAACCAACAATATAAGACGTCAGGTTGCAGTGAAGAACCACATGAAGAGGACAGAGAAAATGGCAATTACCTGAAAATGTACACCTGTGGACTCAATGATTTTTGTTGCACTCCTGAGATATAAAAAAAGCAATAAAAAAAATTCAGCAACACTGCATTCACATAACATCACATAATATGAGAATATTTTAAATGTCTCACTTGTTGCTGTTGTACAAAGCAGCCAGCTGGTGAACCATGTTGACCACCACCTCAAAGCAGCGCGACACAAAGCAAGACAGCTCCTGTAACATACAATCAAATAAAAAAAAATATTTTTTATATTATCAGTAATAATTCAAAAAGATCATGATGTCAAACCTGTAAGAAGGAAATGAAGCGGCCCATCTGAATCTGAGACTCTCCCTCCACCATACTAGTGTCTGACACTGTGAAAAAAATGTAAAAATGTAAACAATTATTATTGTTAAAAGGTACAGGTTAAATGAAATTAAAGTTGAATGACGAAATTTTAATACGAACAAAACTACAATATAAGTGCACGCTATTTCAAGCAAAAAAAACAAACAATAACATTCTATTCCAGAGAGATAAAATCAATTCGCATTTAAAATCCACTCAGATATACAATTATGGAACTAAAATGGGAATCTTGTTGGATTTAAAAGATTCTCATGCAGACGAGCTGTAAAATGAACAGCAAAAACCAAAGCAGTAGTTCTTACCTCCTTCACCATAATACAACAAGCCATTGTAAAACTTAGTTTCAGCCTAAACGTAGAAAGCACAAAACGGTTAATATGAGACCATTAACAATTGAGCTGAAATTGACTTTATAAACATCCACTCAAAGGTTTGGGGTCAGTAAGATTGTTTTTTTTTTTTTATGTTTTTTGAAGTAATCTTGGTGAGACTTGCACACGAAGGTTGCATTTATTTGATCTAAAATAACGGAAAAAACTGCTATATTGTGAAATATTATTACAATTTTAAATTACTTTTTCCTACTTTCATATCCTCCTGACTACCAGGAAAAAACAGTTTTATGAATTTAGTATTTTGTCATGTCATTACATTGTTTAGAGCATAAGAAAAAATCTGAAAAATGATATTTTATTCATATGCTATGCTATGTCCTCTGTAGAAGACATCGGGACTTTAAAAAGTCCTGTTTTTTTAAGAAATAAAAAGACATGAAAAGGCAAAAACAGTGGGATTTTTGTTTTAATCACAAATCAATTTTCATTTTTTATACCAAACTTTATATAAAGACGATTCTCAACTATATTATGAAAGATATTTTTAAAAAAACATTTCTCTTTATGCAAAATGTGTGTAAAATGGCCATAAACAAGTTTTTCCATTATATACAATGTATCTATAAACTGTATCTAATTTGCATATTAATGTGTTTTTGGGGCAACATAGAATGAACAAATAAGTGCAATAATGGGAGTAATAATTAGCAAGATTATCATAATAATATCTAATATTTAATAGGAATATTGATACACAATTTTTACTCTATTCATTTGTTGTGTCTCCCACAATGTGTAATAAACATGCTTTACGTCCTGGTGTCCTCTACAGTGGACATGTATGAAATTGATGTCCTTTTTCATAACAGAAGGTCATATTTTGATTTGAAACCCCATAACATTTTCCTGAGATGTTGATTTATGACAAACAATTTGAAAATTAGTCAGATTTTAATTATAGTTACAAAATATTATCATATTTCCATAAGGGTGTTATACTTGATCACTAAATGAATGTCAGTCATTTTTAAAGACCAAGGAGAGGGAGTGGTCATGGTGAAACATCCAATCATTTGGTATCTCTGAAAAGCCCTGAATGTGCTCTGTACAGGACATTAAAACCTTGACATGTAACGTCTCAGAGAAATCACTAAAACATAATGTCCTCTACAGAGGACAAACCTCCATAGCTGGTAGTCAGGAGGATATATTTTAAAATATAATTTATTTCTGTGATGCAAAGCTGAGTTTTCAGCATCATTACTCCAGTCTTCAGTGTCACATGATCCTTCAGAAATCATTCTGATATGCTGATTTGATGCTCAAGATACATTTCTTCTTATAATTATTATTATTGATATTGAAAATAGTTGTGCTGCTTAATATTTTTGTGTAAACCGGGATACATTTTTTTCAGGGTTCCTTTACAAACAGAAAGTTCAACAGAATAGTATTTATTTGAAACAGAAATTTTATGGAATATTATACATGTCATGTCATACATTTTCACTTACCTCATATTTCAGCTTTTTAACTTCACAGCAAAGAGCTGCATACACTGTGATGACTTTATTAAGCACCTGGTGAAGAAAGAGAGAGAAAAAAGCAACAGGTAAACTCATAATACACTAATTTCCATTCAGCATCTGCATCACATGTAAACTGCAGCATGACCAAAGATGTGCAGACATTTCATACCTTGTTATCGGTCTTGATGAGCTCCAACAGCGAGGACTGTTCATACGGCAGGAGCTGGTGTGCCAGAGCAAGCAGAGTGATATGACATAAATGCAATTAACTGAAAATTAAACAGTTAAGAAGCTGTAATACATGACACAACACCTTCAAAGCAATGGGGTCCAGAGTGAAGTCCCAAACATCTCCAATAGAGTCGTCCAACGCTTCTTCAATACCCTGCAGCTGAGCCGTGTATTCTTCTAAGAACTTCTCATAGTTTTTAACCTGCACTTCTGTGTGAATTTCTGCACAAATACAACCGATCAACAGTCATAAAACCAGAAATAAAAGCTCCAAATAGGCCTGTCGCAATAATCAATATATCGAATTATCGCGCAATATATGTACATGAAAAAATCATTTTTGGTGACGCAATATATCGGCCATTATATTTACTTAAAAATTAATGTCACTGTGTTTTGTACATTCCACTTGCGCCTGTGTCTTTGCACTTCCTTTCTTATTTGTGTGACAGAAAATGTTAGATATTTTTAATATAATTTCATTAGAATTTTTATCAATAATAATAACAATTTTTTAATTAATATTTTTTATGCTATATATATATATATATGGCATGTGAATCTATGGCATCAATATAAACATTTAATACTATAGAGAGAAAAAAGGAATGAGCATTGAATTCACTGGTCAATTAAATTGATTATCTATTTTTGCATTAAAATAGATCCAATCCTCCACTGCAATGATGTCGAACCTCTTTCAAATGAAATATATATATATTATTTTTTATTTATTTATTTATTTTTACGTTTGAGTAATGTTCTGAGGACAGGGGGTTTGGTAAGGATGATAATGCACTGTCATAATTAAGAGACGATAAATATTGCATCTGAGTAAGCGTATCATCTCTGATCAATTTAAAAAAAGAAATATTGCTGTTAAAAACGAATGGCTTTTCTCGTGTATCTCGTGACTTTTGACTTGCAGTTCTCACTCTGTCCTGCGAGTGGCGCCATAAAGCACAGCGACAACACAAGTTATGGAACAACTTTCTCCTTCTAATTGTGCAAATGAATGCATTATTATTTACCAGTAACCGCAAAAGCCTGAAGGCCGCATTCATAACCACATACCGTACAGCCCTATTTTAGTCTGTCCTCGGTTTTTTAATGAGAAACATGTGCCAAATAAGTTCATGGGCATTTATGAGCTCAGCACAAACAGTGGCTTCACAAACCTGCATTGACTACACAGTCAGTCTGCTAGTAATGTGTATGAAGGCTGAATGAGAGAGAAAAGAGTGAAAAAAAGAGCTTGACAACCACCACATGTTCAGCTTGTTGGTTTTAGGGCTGTGCTGCTTAGAGAGGTAAGGTACATTTTTGTAAACCCTGACTTTACAATTAAAGTTACAAATTAATAGCAAAAAATAATACTGCTTACTTTCAGTATATTTATTATCTGAACACAGATGTAAACATCTTATTAAATATTAAGCTTTTTTTCTTCTTATATATTAGTATGTCAGACCAGTATAATCACATGTACTGAATGATAATTCTGTTGTCTGTAAGTGTGGTTGAATAGTTTAATAGTTCGAACTTGATCTACAGTGGTTTCAATTAGAATGACAATCAAATGTGAAATAATAAATCAATAAATCACTGGCATCTGTAACAGGCGAGACTATATGTTACTAGTTAAAGTTTTAAGTGATGTCATGCTGTCAATATTTAACAGTGAAGCAGATTCAGTATTACTACAAATGAACAGTTTGATGCCGTTTTTTTAGCTTCATTGAGATACTATTATAGTTTTTATTAATATTTTGATTTATATTTTAGTATCTTGTTTTAATTTTAGTTAAAGTTTTAGTCATTTTGTTGTTGTTTCTGTCATTTTAATGCTTTTTTAAATATGTCTACATAGTTTTCATTTCAGTTTTAGTTATTTTAGTACATACAATTAAACTAAAGGTGTTTTAGTTCAACTAAAATAACCCTGGTTTGATGTAGATCATTTTTGTATTGTTATTCTTGATTCTTTGCTGAAGTGTTTCATGTTTTTCAGGTGAGATATCAAGCAACTTTATCATCAAACTCAGTCAAATCGTCTATACTAATTTGATCTAAAATTCATCTATACACACGATCTAAGAATCATTATATCAAGTACCTTTACGTGATTCGTTTGCAACAAACAACTTATTTGTTTTTTTTAATTCAAACTCAAGACTGTGCAATATATTTTTTGATACGGTTGTGTGATGACAATGGGATCCCTCACTGAAGAAAAGCAGAAAGAGTGTCAGCTGACCTCAGCTCACCTGTCATCTGGAGAAAATGGGCATCAGTGTATGCCAGAGACCAGAAGACCCAACAGAACGTCAAGCTTCAGCAGTAAGGAATTTTCAGAGTCGGATCCCTTATTTCACAATGAGTTTTACGGGACAGCATTGGCCTCTGGCACCATATCGGAAATTCATGGCCAGGAGATGCCGAGCGAGTCGGTCTGGGCCTTGGTGATACAGATTTCGTTTCCATTCCTCCTAGCTGGTTTTGGGACGGTTCTGGCAGGGATGTTGCTGGATGTAGTGCAGGTGAGTAGGGAGATGATGATGATGGTGATAGGGTGGATTTTGATTAAGCTGACTATAAATGGTTCTTCTTTGTGTTGATGAATCAGCACTGGGACGTTTTCCGTAATGTGACTGAGATCTTCATCCTTGTCCCACCTCTACTGGGCCTAAAGGGGAACCTGGAGATGACATTGGCATCAAGACTTTCCACCGCTGTAAGATGTGTCATCTAAATACCTGTGAAACCCCACTGAACCAGCATTTATTTTCAGGCTGGTTTATGTTGGTTTTATGCCAGTGTAAAAGCCATGCTGTTCCCCAGAAAAATAATTAGGGATTCACAATTGGTACTTTTTCTGCAAAAATTGAGTTTTATTTATTGTTATAATTTGAAATATTTTTTTTGGTATTAGCTGAGATTGGATATTCAGTTCTGCTTGCTCATTTTTCCTATTTTCCTATTTCCTTTTCAATTACCTTTGTCGTCGTAATGCTCACTAAAAGATAATCTTTCAAAAATAAATCAGTGAATAATACTGTTAAATGTAATCTTTTGCAAATCTCAAAATAAATATCCAATTTTCATACTGTACTTTATAATGTTGTAATTCCTAAATTAATTTGTCTTGTTGCATTTAATTCATTTCTAATTTAGTACAGTATTCTAACATAAGCCATTTATCTGTTACGGGCCAATAAATGTGAAAATAATTATTGGCTTATCAGTATCATTATCCCTTAAGTTCATCAACTAGAATGGTCTTTCTGATGATGTTAAGCAGTGAAGACTTCCTGGTCAACCTAGTTAGGAAGCTTAGTGGGGACACCAGTACAAATAATCTCTTTTGCATTCTTGTTTTGCTTTATTAGTAATATTAGTAATTATATTATTAATTAAAATGCATTGAATATATCTTTGCATCTGAAATCCACAATGTGAAAATAAAGGTTCTTTATTAGCATCCATTCTTTAACATCCATAGAACATTTGCTTTGCAGTTCTTTGAAGTGGAAAAGGGGGGTTTCTGATTATTCAAATGTTCTTCACACTATAAAAATGGTTCTTTTAAGAACTGTTCACTGAAAGGTTCTTTTGGGAACACCAAATAATGCTTCTATGGCATCACTGCAAATAAAAACAAAATATATATATATATATATTTTCAAGTGTGATGGTCACCATTGTATTAATTATTCATAAATTAAAACAATATTTAAAAACTAGCGTTTTATTGTAAACACCCATTTTTCTAGTTATGCGTACCTCCAAAAATTGATTCGCGCTATTTAAAAAATCCTTATACAATTTCATGAACGACTGGAAAGCTGTGGAAAATCATTGGTTGAAATGTGTAGGAAGTGGGAACCCTGATCTGCACACCATCCCATCTCATATGATCTACTTCTTCTGCTGTATTGTTTCTGTGTTGTGTTCTTTCCCCTTCATCACATTTGTCATGGTGAGGAACTTCACACCCTGCTGTGAATAAAACAGCCCTCAGGGCTTGAATAACTTGAATGTTGCAGTTTGAACAAAATCAAAGGGTTTATTGAATATTTGCTTGTAATGATTTATAGTAAATGAATAAACAGTCATTCAATACTTGAATATCTGTACTGCAGGTGAATGTAGGCAGAATTAACTCTTCAAGCGAGAAATGGAACCTGATCATTGGAAATCTCGCCCTCAAACAGGTTAATCCAGCTCATTTGATGCTTGCTTGGTGAAATTCTGTTCTTCGTTGAACTCTATTTGTCTCTTCAGGTGCAGGCTACAGTTTTGGGCTTCCTGGCTGCTCTGGTAGCTTCGGCTCTTGGTTGGATCCTGCAGGAGGAGCTCGTCGTGAACCATGTAGCTCTGCTTTGCTGTTGCAGCGTTGTGACAGCATTCACAGCATCTCTGCTGCAGGGTTTGCATCCAGCTTTTGTTTCTGACCAATTTTCATCTACTTAATATAGACCATTTATAATCTTTAAACACTTCATGGGCATCAAATACGGAGGACATCATCTTTGTGGGTGCTGATCATGAGGTTATTCTCACTTGAATGACTCATGGCTTGTGATCTTGGCCATGCAAACCCATTTTCCGTACAGGTCCTGGATATAGACCCAACATCCTCAGGCCACATAGCTCACATTATCAGCATTTGGCATAAATGGATAAGACTGTCAGTATGATTAATGGAAGCAGATCCTTAGTGATGACAAACAAGGTCAAGCATTGAACTTTTTCAAAATGAATTGAAAGAATATAATTTATTTGAAATAATAAATATCTTTTGTAGTGTTATAAGGGTTTTTACTGTCACTTTTGATCAGTTTAATGCATCCTTGCTATAAGAAGTATTAATTTCTTCCAAAAACCGGTTGAACGGTAATGTACATAAAAATCCATTTGTAATTTCATACAGCATGTATAAATTCTTAGATCTTTGAGATTTGATATATGCAAATCTTTCTAGGCATCGTAATGGTTGGTGTGATTGTTGGATCCAAGAAGGTGGGCGTGAACCCTGACAACATAGCCACGCCCATCGCTGCCAGTTTAGGTGACATCATCACACTTGGACTGCTGGCCGTCATCAGTCAAGGCTTCTTTTACTACATGGGTGAGAATGGAAGCGTTATAAGGGTTTTTACTGTCACTTTTGATCAGTTTAATGCATCCTTGCTATAAGAAGTATTAATTTCTTCCAAAAACCGGTTGAACGGTAATGTTCATAAAAATCCATTTGTAATTTCATACAGCATGTATAAATTCTTAGATCTTTGAGATTTGATATATGCAAATCTTTCTAGGCATCGTAATGGTTGGTGTGATTGTTGGATCCAAGAAGGTGGGCGTGAACCCTGACAACATAGCCACGCCCATCGCTGCCAGTTTAGGTGACATCATCACACTTGGACTGCTGGCCGTCATCAGTCAAGGCTTCTTTTACTACATGGGTGAGAATGGAAGACCAGTAACTGGTCAAAGACTAGTTTGTTGTTCCACCTAAGAGGTGTGGCTTTTTATTCTCTTTAATACCATTTAACTCTCTCTGTTTGTAGAGCCATACCCTTATATTACCTACCTGGTGTGTGTTGTTTTCCTGTGCCTGATGCCGATGTGGGTAATTCTTTCATTTCGGCACCCTGAAAGCCAAAAACTGCTGTTTTCCAGCTGGGAGCCAGTAATAACTGCAATGGTGATCAGCAGGTAAATGTTTCCCACTTGGTACATCAATATAAGTCTAGCATGGACCTTTTTGTGATGGTGCAACTGCACCGATTATATTGGTACAACCATCTTATGTTGCTTTTTGTTTCATATCTCCAGTCTTGGAGGACTGATTCTGGACCGTGCCATCATTGATCCAAAGCTTGAAGGAGTTGTTCTCTACAGTCCTGTTATAAATGGTGGGTCAGACTGAACTGATATATTATGTTCTGATCAAATTACTGTTTGTTTTAAATTTTATACACACCTTCCAATATCAACCTATCCTCAAAGGGATTGTTTACTCAAAAATGAAAATTCCCATAATTTACTCCCCCTCATGTCATTCCAAACCTATATGGCTTACTTTGGAACACAAAAGAAGATATTTGAAGAATGTTGGTAACAGTTTTGGAACCTGAAAATGTTTGGTTAGCAACATTCTTCAAAATACTACCAAAATATGTTTTTTCCCATACTATGGAAGTCAAAGGGACCCGAAACCATTTCGTTACCAGCATTCTTCAAAATGTCTTGATGACAGAATTTTTGGGTGGACTTTAATCCCTTTAAGGTGTTGGTGGTAATCTGGTTTCCATCCAGGCTAGTCGTATAGCCACGTATCTTCATTTTCACTGTCCGCCGGGCGAGCTTCCAGACGACGCTAAAGGATGTTACTGCCCCTGCCGCAGCTTTTGCACCACAGGTAACAGATTACCATCAATGTTTGTTTATCCATCAAGGTTCTCAATTCTGGCAGAGTTTAGCTCGAACCCTGATTAAATTCACCTGCCTGTAACTTTCTTGTGATTGTGAAGACCATGATTAGGTAGTTCAGGTATGTTTGATTGGGGTTGGAGCTAAGCTGTGCAGGAAAGTAGATCTCGAGGGCCAGAGCTGAGAACCCCAGGGTTAAGGTTTCAGAACGAGGACAAAAAACACTTTGCATTACTTCTGACAGGACCGAATGGAAGATCAGCGCAGGTGCTGCTCACTTTGGCCATCCCAGGCCACCTGGTCTTCATCTACACCATTTACCTAATACAAGGCAGCCCGGATCCACCTACTGCAGTCTTCATTTTCTTCTATTTGGCAGCTGCTTTCACTCAGGCAAGTGAAAGAGATGTTAGCATATGTCTTATTGAGGAGAATGTGTCTGTTAGCATATGTCTTATTGATTTTATTCTGAATCCTCATATAGGTGTTTCTTCTGCTGGGCATCGTTGATGTGATGGTTCATTGCTTGTGGAAGTGCGGCAGGGATCCTGATAGCTTCTCCATCCCGTATCTAACAGCTCTGGGGGATCTTTTGGGCACTGGCTTTCTGACACTGTGTTTTCTTCTTATGTCACTGGTGGCATAAACATTAAAATGACATTGTCCGATTTCATTAAACAGATTAGATCTGATCTGTCACCGCTGTCTAATGTGCTGGTCTACATATTTGCCATTTCTCTCCGCAGTTCAGCCATTTGAATATTACTTGAAATATCAACCTCTCCATACATGCCAGTCAAATCCCTGTGTGCAATTCATTGAGTGGCATATGCTGCCTCATGTGACAATAGCACTTCTCCAAGTCACACAACTGTCTTCATTGAATAAAGAACTGCTGTTGTCTGTTTCCATATGTTGTTATGTTAAATGTGAGTCTGATTTGCACTCATCTTCCTGGATCAGTATCCTTTCTTTTGTACTGTGTAGTACAGCATTTCTCATTTGGTTCTAATAAAAATATGTTAATTATATGTTTTTATGGTTCAGAAATGTGCATTTAGTGACAGGATGTGACAAACTGTTAATCATATGGTTTTAATGTCCAAATATTTGCATTGGGCAGCCTTATACAATTTAACAGTGCATGTTGATTAATTATTATTATTATTATAGTTATTATATAATTATTATTACTTTAGGATGTATTAAGGAGAATAAACACAATAATGTCTCAGTATTGATAGCTTATTATTTTGTCATTTTTATTTTATTAAATCACCCGCAATAGTTTGTTTTATTATCTTTTGCTGTATATAATTCATTCATGTATACTTCACAAATGTATCAGTGCTAATATAAGAGAATAATTGACTGAAGTTTGTAAAGATTTGTAGGAATGATTTGCATTGAAATAATCTGAATCACTTGAAAAATCCTTGGATTACCACTTAAATTATATTTACAGCTATTTAATATTTAGTATCCACAGTTCAATCAATTCCATATTACAAATATTTTTTTCTTTTTGAGACCTTTACTTTTATCATTGAGATAATGCATGCTATTATAAAAGGACAACATTTATTATTATTATTTATTTTTCCTGGGAAAACTCAAACTGTTTTATTTCATTCAGTGGTCTAATATTTTGGCCAACTGATTGACTGTAATAAAATAAAACAGGAACAAAAACTTTATTGGCTTAAATTTTAATTTGTTTATAAGCACAGTTGCTGCCCCTGATTTCAGCGCGATGTACCAACCACTCCCAGTAGAAGGCGCTACCTCGGTCAACGTTGCGCTTTTATTTTAAAACAGAAGGGCTGTAGCGCCACCTAGTGTCCGAGTGAGACTCGTCCTCCAGCACCGTTCAGCCCTGCGCAGGGACTGGTTCTCCCGCAGCCATTTTCTGTCCAACCAAACGGCCGAGCTGAGGCGAGAACCAACCAGGGCTTCATCGCAGGTTAGTGTGCGGCTCCGGCCAATGATTGCTAACCCATATTTCGTTACATCGAATGGAAATGTCCGCGCGCGAGTGTTTTATTATTAGTTGGCGGGGAGAAAGGGAAATTAAGCGCGCTTTATGAAAAGCAGCTCGCTGTTGTAGGAGTAATTGTTAACAGCTCGTGACCGTGCACGGCCGCTTTGTTTACTACGACCAATTCTAGCGAATCCGAGGTCGCTTTAGCCTGTCTGCCTTGTTCTCTGCCCTCTTCTGCTGTTTAATGCATCCATCAGTTATAATAACTCATTTGACCAGTTTATCGGAATGATTCCGTGGGAAAGTGTGGTTTGTGTTTATTTAGCGCGTGTAAACATTGCTTGCCTAGCACCGGCGAGCTCTATAACCAATAAAATACACACCTGCTGTCAAAATAGCCACATAATATATCCTGTTATTTTTTATTTGGTGCTTATTATTGATCAAATTTCATATTTAGCCTACACTGACTGCCTTTTTTATTTTTTAAATACAATCAAACGTGTGAAGGTCTTTGAGGGGAGTTTGTGTGTTAATCTTTTTTAAATGAAAAATGTATGTTTATGTGATTCACTGGCAGATGACAATTATGAACGTTTATTACTGAATAAAATAAAGGTTAAATTCTATATATACTGGTGGCTTAATAATTGTACGTCTGTGGTGATGAAATGTGTCGATTTTGCGTGCCCACATACGTTTATACAAGTATAGTAGAGCACTGTGGCCATAAATGCTGTCTAGGTAGGCAGCTCGCTTGGCTTTGAAACACAATCAATAATTTACAGTTGTAATACAATTTAATTTATGTTTCAGATGGACGGAGACAGTTCAACCACAGATGCCTCCCAACTTGGCATAACAGGAGAATATATGGCTGGTAGTCACTTTGTTCTAGCTCAAGCTCAAGATGGTAAGTGAAGCTAAAGACATATTTAAATCATTACAAATTATTTAATTATCATTTAATTAATTGATTAATACATTGTAAAAAAAAAAAAAAAAAAAGTAATTATTATGTAATATTTTATGTAATTAAATAATTATTTAGAATATAAATAAATAATTTGATATGTTTACATTTTTGTATAATTTCATATAATAAAAATATATAGAATCTTATATTTATTAAATATAAAATTTAAATGGTTAGAGAGTCGGACTCGTAACCCAAAGGTTGCGGGTTCGAGTCTCGTACCGGCAGGGATTGTAGGTGGGGGGAGTGAATGTACAGCGCTCTCTTCCACCTTCAATACCACGACTGAGGTGCCCTTGAGCAAGGCACCGAACCCCCAACTGCTCCCCGGGCGCCGCAGCATAAATGGCTGCCCACTGCTCCAGGTGTGTGTTCACAGTGTGTGTGTGTTTACTGCTGTGTGTGTGCACTTAGGATGGGTAAATGCAGAGCACTAATTCCGAGTATGGGTCACCATACTTGGCCACATGTCATGTCACTCACTCACTCATTATTAAATTACTCTCCTGGTCAAAAGTTCGGAATCATTAAGATTTTTTATTGTTTTTTGTGTGTGTGTTTGTATGTATGTATGTGTGTGTGTGTGTGTTTTAATTAGCTCAGCATGGCTGCATTTATTTGATCAAATATACAGTAAAAACAGTTATGTTGTGAAATATTAGTACTATTTAAAAATACTGTTTTTTTTTTATTTGAATATACGTATTATAAAATATGATTTATTCCTGCCTGTGATGCAAAGCTGAATTTTCAGCATAATTTCTCCAGTCTTCAGTGTCACATGACCCTTCAGAAATCATTCTGATATGCTGATTAGATAAACATTTCTTATTATTAATTAATTTATTTTTTGTAAAGATGAAGGTGATGAGGGTCTCAATGACCACGAGGATGGGGATGGAAGCAAAGATAACCTACGTGAGCAAGACATCTATCTCCCCATTGCCAACGTTGCTCGAATCATGAAAAATGCAATCCCACAAACTGGAAAAGTAAGTCATTTTTAAGGCAAGTCAGTTCGGTTTGCCGAAGAAAAAATAAAACCTTTTTATTTATTTGTTATTATGTGGTTTATGTATAAAAAGATGCTCTTTGATCACCTCTCTGTTTATTCAGAGCTTCTTCTTTTTTTTTTGCTTAAAGAAAGTGAAACTTTACAAATTTAGCATAAACGTTATTCAAAAGACTTTCTCTCCATCACCTCAGATAGCAAAGGACGCCAAGGAGTGTGTGCAGGAGTGTGTGAGCGAGTTCATCAGCTTCATCACTTCAGAAGCCAGCGAGAGATGCCATCAGGAGAAACGCAAGACCATAAACGGCGAAGACATCCTGTTTGCAATGTCCACGCTGGGTTTCGACATGTATGTGGAGCCTCTGAAGCTCTACCTGCAGAAATTCAGAGAGGTAACACTGACATTAACGTTTTAATGGCATCATCATACATCAGTGAAGTCAAAAGGCTTATTCAGAGGCTGTCAGAGGTGTGGATTCCTCCTCTTGATTGGTTGAGCTCTTTTGATTGACGTGACATTTGTGTGAATGTTCTCAGGCCATGAAAGGAGAGAAAGGCATAAGCACTGTAACTGTAACTGAAGGCATGGGAGAGGAGCTGACCGACGAGACTTTCAGTAAGTAACTGATTAGTACAGATGGGTACGGAAATGATGCTTACAACCAAACTTGAATTTAATTTATTTTGTGTACATACTAATACATACTACTGTATTAATAATTTGCTAATTATTGTTTATATACTGTTGTAGTATTTAATTATATATATATATATATATATATATTTCTGAAAGCTGAATAAATAAGCTTTCCATTGATGTATGGTTTGTTAGGATAGGACAATATTTGGCCGAGATACAACTATTTGAAAATCTGGAATCTTGAGGGTGCAAAAAAATCTAAATATTGAGAAAATCACTTTTAAAGTTGTCCAAATGAAGTTCTTTGCAATGCATATTACTAATCAAAAATTAAGTTTTGATATATTTACAGTAGGACATTTACAAAATATCTTCATGGAACATAATCTTTACTTAATATCCTAATGATTTTTGGCATAAAAGAAAAATCAATAATTTTACAATGCATTTTTGGATATTGCTACAAATATACCCCAGCGACTTAAGACTGGTTTTGTGGTCCAGGGTCACATATATAATATTTTCAGTTTCAGTAATATTTTGTGCGAAAAAATTTTTTTTTTTTAATTTTTCTATGTAACTTTTAATTTTAATTAATTCACTTATTTATTATTCATTTTACATTTAGTATTTTTTTTTTACCTCCTACTTCAACAAACCTGTTTTATTTCAGGTAGTTGCCAAAGCAGCATTTAATCATTTATGATTTTTTTGTACACTGTGTTATTAACGGCAAATTTATCAAATATATTGTAAAAATAACCTATATAAATAAATAAGCAGTTTGACTTTAAATTTATTAACTGAAAATAACAATATTTACAATATTTATTTAATTTATATTTAAATTAAATAATTCAAATAATTAGGCTTTGTTTATAGAGTATTCTTTCCTGCACGTTTTGTATTAATAATTAAATGATCAATTAAATGTAATTTTAATGTCAATTGATTTTGAAAATAGACATGATCATTATAATAGTTATTATTATTATACAGTAATTATTACCAATATCAATAATTATTATGCATACTTGTATGTATGTATGTATATATATATATATATATATATGTCATGTTGACCAGTCCAACACAATGAAATCTTTTTCTTTCTCAGCAAATCCACTACCTGCAGGAATCATAACAGCTGATGGACAGCAACAAAATGTGATGGTGTACACCACCTCCTATCAGCAGGTCAGAAGCAGACCAAGAGTCATTTAAAGATGGCACAATTCAATCTACACTTTTAAGCATTTTGAATGATGCTTTTATTTACATTCAATCTGATGCAGATCCCAGGCGTGCAACAGCTCCAGTTCTCCTGAAGATGTGCAGAAATCAACACCTAATCATCACGAATCAGACCTCCACACTTCTGTTACGGAGGTCTTCAGCAGACTCTCACAGGTCACAGAGCTGGACTTCTATGTGTGTTTAGCTTGTTTTTGTGTGTGCTCCGTGTGTCTGTGCACACACATTATGATTTTACGTGACTAGTCTGTTGGGTGTTATTTTGTTTGTTCTTCATCACACATTTTGGAGTTTTATTCATTTAAAGGTTTGGGGTAAAAGGGGTCCTGAGGGGGTTTCAAAACTAACTCACCTCTCTGTCAAAGCAATAAAATAGAACAAATGTGAATTTTCCTGCATCTTAGTGGAATGAGTGCTTTGCTCCTTTTTATATAGATGAAAAATCATGTTGCATGTGTAATTTCAGTTTGATGAGATGTTAACACTTAAAATAAAATGTGGTCATTTTTGTAAATAGTTCATATTTTTGTGTATGTTTTTTTTTTCATGAATTTGTATTGATGCATTTCATTCAACATGAAGAACTCATTTGAAAGCAATCTGCATTTGTCAGTCAAGCCCAGAAATAAATCTAAAGAATTTATTCAAAGTGGCCCATTTTAAGTCAGTGACTTTCTTTGGATGAGTTTACGTTCAATTCTTGCTGAATTTCATTTTGCTTTTATGTTCTTATTAATTTACCGTTATACCTTGAATGTGAATCTTGAAACTGTGCTTTAAAAACAAACAAGGATATCAGTTACCTCAAGAACACTTAAAATGGCATTTAAAAATCATCATAAAAATCAATTATTTCATGAAATAAAGCATTGTCTAATTATGTATTTTATGTGGGACTTTATTTGTAATCTATTTTATGACTGAAAAGCCAAGGGACAAATACTGCCTGACTCTCCTCCCTGGTAAAGTCGTTTCTGTTTAGCATTGTCAGCACTCAGGAGACAGGGTTATTATATGTTACTTTAAATAAAATAAACAAACATGTAATTAATTAAAATGAAAACAGATACAAGAAGGAAACGAAAATTCATTAAATGAATATACTAATACAGTATATAATAATACAATCTAAAAGAACATGTATTATCAATGGGATGCCTGACAGCAAGTGCCGTCTCTCATCCTGCTGAGGGCAGCCACATGACAAAGACACAGACTGAATGACATCGCACCTCCAGCACGACTTCCTGCCGCTTCAGCCACCTCCGCCTGCACCTAGCCAGACTGTCTGATGGGGCGGTTCACACCTTAACACTTTCAATTGTGTCCTGACCTGACTCAGGCGAGCAGCGGGGGTTCTGCGGTCTCATAACTATAGGACTCATAAGAAGGATAATGAATCAAATTATGTGTCAGTGATGTATGAAAGAAGCGGATGAATTTTTGATCTCAGTGAAAATACTTTGTTTGTGCATGTTATTAGAAACATCTTGCTATCTAGCCAGGCTTTGTCAAAATGTTATTTATCTGTCAATCATATTTTATTAATAGAGCCCACTGTGAGATGTATTTGAGGATACATACACACACACACGTTTTAGCCATATACACAGAGAACTACTGAAGGCCAACACCTGTGCAAACAGAACATGGAAAATAGAGAATAAAGAAAACTATAGAAATTTCCATCACATGTGTTAACGGTCTTAATATGATTTCTTATATAAAGCTTTTTGCATATTATTTCGAATCTTCGTTTTCATTTTCCATATGACAGCAGGAGAGAAAGAGGAGTCAGAACTGATAATAACTGACCGGAGGCCTTTTAAACACTTTTTGAAAATTTCTGAGCTGTGAAAAAAGTTGACTGGAAAAAAGATTGACAAGTGTCGGCTAGAGCCTAATAAATAAAATTGTCATATGAATGCATAAATCACCCTCATATCAATCATGTGATGACAAAGTGTATGTTTATCATAATAATGTTTGTTATGTTTATTATACTGTTAATTTAGAATGTATTTTATGCTTATTTGATTTTACTTTTGTTGTTGTGTCATCTGATCTATATATTTTACTGCTTTGCTTTTTATGGCCCAAATAAATTATAATAAATTGATGCATTTTAATGTATTATTGTAGTTGCTGATCATTGTACTGCTGTAGCGATTATTATTATAGAAGCAATATGAAAAGAAATGAAAGTATAAACAATAAGATTTTGATGTGATTTGAGAATAATTTGATTTGATTTATTTGTATTTTTGAAACTCAAATCACATCATACCCTGAAAGTGAAGTTAAGTAAAAAAAAGAAAGAAAAAGTGCTTAGTTTGAGTGAATTACTCCTACAGCGTTCAAAAAGTGGAAGCTTCGAATAACTAACTTCCACTGTAACCTGTATGAATGGCAGTGCCAGTGTCTAGTATTGTTGTGATTTATTGATGTAGGAAGAGCGGGGGGAGTTGAGACACTTTTTACAGTGTGTTTAACGTTAGCACATGACAGTAATGGGTCCAATTTAAATATGTACATACATTTCAGAATGTGGTACATCCTTGGAAATAGTCACTTTGGATCTAAAATAAACTGCTTTCAAAATATGGCTTCCCAAAAAAAAAAAAAGTGGTCTCTTGGCCCCAGCGAGGGGTAAATTGGCCAGGGAGAGGGTAAGTTGAGTCACATGGAGTTAAACTGTGCGATTTGATTTATTTGTATTTTTGAAACTCAAATCACATCATACCCTGAAAGTGAAGTTAAGTAAAAAAAAGAAAGAAAAAGTGCTTAGTTTGAGTGAATTACTCCTACAGCGTTCAAAAAGTGGAAGCTTCGAATAACTAACTTCCACTGTAACCTGAATGAATGGCAGTGCCAGTGTCTAGTATTGTTGTGATTTATTGATGTAGGAAGAGCGGGGGGAGTTGAGACACTTTTTACAGTGTGTTTAACGTTAGCACATGACAGTAATGGGTCCAATTTAAATATGTACATACATTTCAGAATGTGGTACATCCTTGGAAATAGTCACTTTGGATCTAAAATAAACTGCTTTCAAAATATGGCTTCCCAAAAAAAAAAAAAGTGGTCTCTTGGCCCCAGCGAGGGGTAAATTGGCCAGGGAGAGGGTCAGTTGAGTCACATGGAGTTAAACTGTGCCACTGATTATGCTGAAGTAAAACTGAACATTTTCACCTCATACTATATCACAGGAAGAGAATTTCAATAAAAATGACTTCTTAAAAATATGTGTGAGCCTTGTGATGGACTGACCATCCATTTGAATTATTTAAACATTTCATAACAAAATAAACTTCAAATTGAATAATTAAAAATAAGTATTTAAATAAATAAATAAATAATGGACTGCAATTGACCTTCAGGGCTAATAGTACTCAACATCCCACTTATAAATGTTGCAGGGAAATACAATTTCATAAAAACGTCAATGGCCAATTTCCATAAACAAGGCTTATTTAAAATTTTCAGAACAAAATCAAGCTCAAAACAAAGAACAAAATCAAAAATGTTTGGTCTAAAATTAATGAAATATAATGTAATGTACAGTAAAATAATACTTTATAATCATAATAAGGGGTGAGCCGTTGGCTCAACTTACCCCAGGACCTTTGGCTCAACTTACCCCACTCCTACCATTTTAACAAACTGGAATCATTCAGCAGTTTAGAGCTAACATCATGCTAACAGCCTCATAACTTCCGAAAGCTCACAAATGTAGTTGCCAGTTATTCCATGTGCCTCTCTCCATCACAGGGACGGTAAATTTGACATCTTCTCTCTTTTGAAAGCCGTTATCAGTCTCTCTCAATTCTTCCCCTTTTATTGAAATTCATGAAAACACTATTGCAAAAAAATATATTTGTGGTACTCTCCCATTCACTGCTCTTCAAGTTAACCCAACTATGACGACTTCCGCTGCTGAGAAACCCGGAAATGTGAAAAAGGTCCATAATAATGTAACTAACCATTGCTTTCATGCACTTACTTTACTTTCCTATACAATCATCACGTATTATATCAAATTGAGGTCGTTCAAATAAATTAATAGTTTCAGCCCAAAGTCGGCTATTCAAAAATAACTGATTTTATCATTTAAAACGGTCATGTCCTCCGGTTTTGAGTGCAGTGACTGGATAGCATTATATTGTAGACAAGATTGGAAATGAATAATTGCGCAACAATAAAAACAATACATTTAAAAATCTAATTAAATCGGTGTATATATATTTCGAGTATTCCTCCAGCAGTAACGTGAGCAGGCGGGAATTCTTCTCCCTACTAACCGAAGCCAGATGTGACCACACGCAGACTGAAACTTTGAAAAAGGTAAAACCCTCACAGGCTTACTTTCAGGTCACACTATGTTGCCAGATCACCCCTAATTGAGCGAAAAACTGAATCATTTGTATCAATTGTGGAGAAACTGCACATGAAGTATACAATACACAAATGAAAGAATTGTGATTGTGGACCTGGCAACACGGGCTATAACGGTCCGTTGTCCCGCTGCTCCAATGTTGCCAAGTCGCGGTTTTCCCGCGGAATTGTGCTATTTTAACACGGTTGCCGCGGGTTGAAGCGACCCCAATAACGGAATGCGACTTTTACCAGGGTAACCCTACCAAAAAACGTGTATTTTACCCCCCGGAATGCGATTGGGCTAGTTTTGAGCTAGTTTTGAGTAGCAATTGGGCGGGATTTGTTGTGAAAACCTGGCAACCCTGCGCCGCTCCTGCATTTCAAAGGCCTGATGAGATTCCTCACGTTGAGCTTTGGTAAAAGTAACGTTAGTTAAAGAAAGCGCTGAAAGAAACACGTTCATCACAGACAGAGGAGCGTTTCTTACACGGATGTTCGGTAAGTTGTTCAGTATTTCCTTGGAAACACGATTTTTTTTGTTTCCATCGTTTATAATTTGGCCGTGATGACATTTGGAGAGCCAAACAAAGTCAAGTCTGTGCATTTAAAGGCATCTTAAAAAAAACACTAATTCGATTAAAGATGACATTCTTCATGAAACGCATTTAAAAGCTATTTCCTGTCAGTTCTGTTATAACAGCCCGCGGTATTGTGCTGATGTGACCGAATTAAGTGTTACATTTCGATTCTTGAATTCTTATATTTTTGGTGCATAAGGTCAGTGATAAAGCGACGTAACATGCAATTTACGTAATTTATATTTAATTTATGACACCCATCTAGTCAAGGACAATAGGTGTGGAAGCTAATTGCTACTTTTAATCCCACAAATTCAAATTCAGACGATTTCCCCGCAATTCTGAGGGTCAAAAACAAACAAACTCAGACTTCTAAGAAAGAAAGTCAGAATTGAAATGGCAAGATACAGGATCATTTGCATAAATTTGGTTTATGTGTTATGACTCAGTTTTAAGAGCTAGTCTGACCAGCTAACAGTTAACCAAAGGATAATCGGCCTTATTTTTCGGATTCAAATTAGACCAATTTCCATTTGTATTTTACAAACTTAAAGTTATGACCAGAC